AAGGCAGTGCATACCATGAACTGTCTAAATGTCTCATGTATGCATGGATTCATATTGGTATATTCGTGGAAATGGCAAGCTCATTCTAAAATGTGTAGACACTCAAAGAACCTGAAGTGTAGGTTTTGGAGGCTGTAGTGTAGCAAGGGAAGCCTCCGCCTATGGCAGCAGCATACCATATGGGACCTAGTTTGTGTTCCAGCTGCTCCACTTCCAATCCAGGTCCCTGCTGTTGGCTTGGGAGAGTAGTGGAGGATGGCTTGGGAGAGTAGTGGAGGATGGCTTAAGACCCTGGACCCCTGCATCTGCATGGGAGGCCCAGAGGAAGCTCCTGGCTTTGGATCAGCCCAGCTCTGGCCACTGCAGCCACTGGAGAGTGAACCAGCAGAGGGAGGCTCTTCTCTGTCACTGTAGATCAACCTTTCAAGTAAATATATACTAATATTTTAAAAAATATTTTCATTGGAAAGGCAGATATACGGAGAGGAGGGGAGACACGCCGCTGGGCCTCGGCATGCATTTTTGATAGGACACAATACCCATGGATACCCACTTCAGGGAGTGGGAGCAAAAGTGCAATCCACACATTGCAGGATTAAAAAACTTGAATTTGGGCCTGGCGGCGTGGCCTAGCAGCCAAAGTCCTCACCTTGAACACACCGGGATCCCATATGGGCACTGGTTCTAATCCTGGCAGCTCCACTTCCCATCCAGCTCCCTGCTTGTGGCCTGGGAATGAAGTCGAGGACGGCCCAAAGCTTTGGGACCCTGCACCCGTGTGGGAGACGCGGAAAAAGTTCCTGGCTCCTGGCTTCGGATTGGCACAGCACCGGCCGTTGTAGTCACTTGGGGAGTGAATCATCGGACGGAAGATCTTCCTCTCTCTCATCCTCTCTGTATATCAGATTTTACAATAAATAAATAAATCTTTAAAAAAAAAAAAAAACCTTGAATTCAGATTTCTCACACAGCTGCCGGGGAGCTGAGCTGTGTCCTGCTGGTGGAGTCTGCAGCCACTGCCTGCCAGCAGCACCGAAGAGCTGGTTCTCCAGCAAGCAGCATCAGTGGGCTGGGCGGCAAGGACTTGGAGCCGCCCCTTGCTGTCTCCTGGGGCACCCCCAGGAGTGAGGACGCTACAGGGAGACATCAACACAACCACAGATGGAAAAGACGCCAGCAGGGGGATGTGCTTGGAAGCTCAGGACAAAACGGAGGGCTACACAGCCAACACAGCACTCAGGGGCACCTATTTGAACACGTGGTCACTGCTGGAGCCACGTGCTTCTTCCCAAGCCCTTGGGCCGCCCTCTGCACTTTCCCAGGTCATCAGCAGGGAGCTGGGTCAGAAGTGGAATGGCTGAAAACAAGAACTGGTGCCCATGTGGGATGCCAGTGTATATAGGTAGTGGGTTTACACTAAGCTACATCACTTGCCCTTTTCTTTCTCTCTCTCTCTCTCTTTTTTAACGATTTATTTATTTTTATTGGAAAGGCAGATATATAGAGAGGAGGTGAGATAGAGAGGAAGTTCTTCCATCCGATGATTCACTCCCCAAGTGACTGCAATGGCTGGAGTTGAGCCAATCCGAAACCAGGAGCCAGGAGGTCTTCCACTTTGCCCACGCGGGTGCAGGGTCCCAAGGCTTTGGGCCATCCTCAACTGCTTCCCAGGGAACAAGCAGGGAGCTGGAAAGGAAGGAGGGATGCCAGGATTAGAACTGGCGACCATATGGGATCCCAGCCGTGCAAGGCAAGGACTTTAACCACTACGCTATCGCGCCAGGCCCCCTTTATTTCTCTTTTAAAAATAATTATTTAAAAGGCAGCACAACAGAGACATGGAACATCACAGAGATCTTTCACCCACTGCTTCACTCTCCCAACAGACCACAGCAGCCAGGGCTGGTCCGGGCCAACAGCAGGAGTCAGGAACCCCTCCGGGTTCCCTCCCACCTCCGGCATGGGTGACAGGGTCCAAGTACATGGCTGTCTTCCCAAGCGCACAAGCCGGGAGCCGGATCCAAAAGTGGATCAGCTAAGACTCAGCGGTGCTGCAGTGTGGATGCTGGCACCAGGAGAGGCAGCATACCCTGCTAGACTGCCACAGAGTGGGCCTGCGCCCTGCCATTCCTGAGCCAGGTGACCTAAAACCCACGTGCTGGAGGGCTGGCCCCCCGCTGTGGTGGTGTGGGGGGGCTTTTAGAGGCGGAGTCTAGTGGGAGGAGCCGAGTGTTAGACCCGGTGGTTGAGGCTGGTCTGTGGGGCCACCCCGGGGCTTGTCCCCCTCAGGGACTGCCCACCAGGGACACAGCGAGCACCCATGGGCCGTCATCGCTCAGCATGGCCCTGACCCTGGCTCCAGCCCAGACCTGGCCCCCCGCCCGGGCCTATCTATCCCTGGTCTGAGTGGGGAGCTGCGGTGGTAGTGGGGGGCGTAAATCAGGGACACAGCCCTCCACCCCGGGGGACACCCAACTACTCCCCCACCCCGCGGGACACCCAACCCTGCCGCTTCCTCCCAGAGCTTCTGCTGCCCAGACTCATCCTTCATTTCCCACTTGGTCTGGTGTAAAGTGATCTTTCCAGAACTATTGTTCCGGGACAAAAAGCCCCAGCGTGACTTCCTCTGTTCCAGCTAGGGGGGAGGCTCCCGGAAGGATAACAGGAAATGAGCTTGATATGCGTGGGTGTGGGCTTCCCAGTTGGTTGCGGTTTTTCTCCATCTTTGCTAGAATGGGGCGAAGGGGCAGGGAGGGAATGGGAGGGGGCAGCAGGGCCCTGGGTCCTGGGCTGTGGCTGCCACCATGGGAGAGCTGGAGGCGAAGGAGGGTCGGGAGAGAGCGGTGTGGAAGAACAGCCGCCAGCACTGGGGCTGAGGGAGCTCCTGGCAGGGGAAGGGCGGCCAATGAGGGAAAGGCTTCCGGGGTGTGGGAGGGGCACCTGCTTCTCCAGGTAGAGCAGCAGGAAGTGACGTTTTCTCCTACAATGGCAGCAGCCCGAGGTGACAGCTGGAATCCCAGCTGTTCCATTTCGGATCCAACTCCCATACGGCTGAGAAAGCAGCAGAAGATGGCCCGAAGGAGCCAGCACTGTGGCATAGTGGGTGAAGCCACTCCCTGCAATGCCCTGGCTGAAGTAACCACGTGGGCAGTGAACCAGTAGGTTTAAGATATCTCCCTCTTTCTCTCTGCAGCTCTGCCTGATAGATAGATGTAAGATGGCCAGGTCTTTGGGCCGCTGTACCAACGTTGGAGACCCCGATAGGAATTCTGGCTCCTCTTCAGCCTTGCTGAGCCCTGGGGGGTGCAGCCACTGGAGAGCGAACACGATAGAAGATCTCTCTTGGACATGGTGTGATTACCTAGCATCGAAAGTCCTCGCTTTGCACGCGCTGGGATCCCTTATGGGCAGCGGTTCTAATCCCGGCTGCCCCACTTCCCATTCAACTTCCTACTTGTAGCCTGGAAAAGCAGTCAAGGATGACCTGAAGTCTTGGGACCCTGTACCTGCATGGGAGACCCGGAAGAAGCCCCAGGCTGCTGGCTTCAGATTGACTCAGCTCTGCTGTTGCAGTGGCTTAGGGAGTGAATCAACGGGTGGAAGATCTTCTCTGACTCTCCTCTCTGGATAACAAACTTTCCAATTAAAAATAATAATAATAAATCTTAAAAAGAAGAAGAGGCCTCGCGGCATGGCCTAGTGGCTAAAGTCATTGCCTTGAACATGCCGGGATCCCATATGGGCGCTGGTTTTAATCCCAGCAGCTCCAGTTCCCATCCAGCTCCCTGCTTGTGGCCTGGGAAAGCAGTTGAGGACTGCACAAGATCTTGGGACCCTTCACCCATGTGGGAGACCTGGAGGAGGTTCCTGGCTCCTGGCTTTGGATCAGCTTGGCTCGAGCCATTGCAGTCACTTGGGGAGTGAATCATCAGACAGAAGATCTTCCTCTCTGCATATCTGACTTTGCAATAAAAATAAAATAAATCTTGGGCCTGGCGTGGTCTAGCGGCTAAGTCCTCGCCATGAATGTACCAGGATCCCATATGGGCGCCAGTTCTAATCCCAGCAGCTCCACCTCCCATCCACTCTCTGCTTGTGACCTGGGAAAGCAGTTGAGGACAGCCAGAGCTTTGGAACCCAGCACCCGCGTGGGAGACCCGGAAGAGTTTCCTGGTTCCTGGCTCCGGATCGGCACAGCACTGGCCGTTGCACTCACTTTGGGAGTGAATCATCAGACGGAAGATCTTCCTCTCTGTCTCTCCTCTCTGTATATCTGCCTTTCCAATAAATAAATAAATAATAAAAATAAAAAATCTTAAAAAAAAAAAGATTTATTTATTTTTATTGGAAAGTCAAATTTTGCAGAGAGAGGAGAGCCAGAGAGAAAGATCTTCCATCTGGCTCACTCCCCAGGTGGCTGTGACAGCCAGAGCTGAACTGATCCTAAGCCAGGAGCCAGGAGCTTCCTCCAAGTCTCCCATGCGAGTGCATAGTCCCAAGGCCCCAACCAGGATACAAACTGGCACCTACATGGGATCCCGGCACATGCAAGGTAAGAGCTTTAGCCACTAAGCTATCACACTGGGCCCTCAGGAATTGAATTTTTAGAATCACTTAAAATGTGACAAACAACAAAATGACTACACAGGGGTAAATTGGACAAAAGTAGCTAAGACCTATTCACTGGGAACTACGGAACGTTACATCAAAGGAATTCAAGTTCTGCTGACTCACTGGAACATGTTCTGTCTGTGTGTGAAAGAAGCAGAGGCAGAAAGAAAGTGTTTCCACCTCCTGGTTCCCTCTCCCAATACCTGCAACAGCCGAGGCGGGGCCAGAGGCCAGGAACTCCATCCGGTCTCCCAAGCAGGGAGCAGGAGCTCAAGGCTTGGCCAGCCTCTACTGCGTCCCCACCCAGGCCCCTTAGCGGGGAACAGATTGGCCGGAGCAGAGCCAGCTCTCCAACTCCGCACTCCAACACGGATGGAGTTGGAGGCATAATGGCGTCACTGGTGGCAACATGGTGCTGGCTGCTGCATGAGACACTAAAGCAAACCAAGCAGGTGCGGAGTCAGCGAGATCGCGGACGGCCATCCGCACTGAGGCAGACGTCCGTCTGTCGCTGATTGAATCGGGTTAGGACGCTTTACATGGGAAGAGCTGATGCTAACACTTATCGGGCAGTAGAAAGGAGGAAGTGGGGGAGGAAAGTAGAAGAAACTCGATTTCAAGATGGATAAGACTCAAGACTGTGGAATTGAAATAAAGATAAACAGAGGGTAGCTGAGGTTTGGTGAATCAGCTAAGAAAGTGGGTCACCCACATTCTCTGTCCACGTGTGTCCGTGGTTTCAATCCTGGCTCTGCTTGCCATCCAGTTCCCTGCTAGTGTGCGCCCTGAGAGGTGGCAGGTGACAGCTCGAGGGCTTGGTCTCTAGCCAACGTGAGACACCTGGAAGAAGCTTCGGGATCCTGGCTTCCACCTGTAACAGCTCTGGCCATTACAACCATGTGGGAGGTAAACCAGCGGATGGAAAACTCTAAGTAATTCTGGCAAATAAATCTTATCAAAGCAGCATTAACGGGGCCTTGCAGCATCCAGTCTGTGACGCAGCCTGCTGGGTGCTGCGCCCCTGCGCCTCCTGTCCTGCCATGGTCAGTGCTGGCGTCAGGCCCCGAGGTTTCCTTCTCAGAGAAGAGGCCCCCAAGCTTGAAGCCAACACTACCCACGGAGGCATCCATTTCCACGACTTTCTGGAAGACTCATGGGGCATCCTCTCCTCCCATTCCCGGGACTTCACCCAGGTTTGCAGCACAGACTTGGCAGAGCTGCAAAGCAGACACCAGCATTTGCCAAGAGGAATGTTTTTTTTTCTTTTTTTTTTAAGTTGGACTGAATTCTTTTTTTTTTTTTTAAGATTTATTTATTTTTATTGGAAAGTCAGATATACAGAGAGGAAGAGAGACAGAGAGGAAGATCTTCCTTCCGTCCGATGATTCACTCCCCAAGTGACCACAACGGCCAGTGCTGTGCCAAACCGAAGGTAGGAACCAGGAACCTCCTCCAGGTCTCTCACATGGGTGCAGGGTCCCAAAGCTTTGGACCATCTTCAACTACTTTCCCAGGCCTCAAGCAGGGAGCTGGATGGAAAGTGGAGCTGCTGGGATTAGAACCGGCGCCATACGGGATCCTGGCATGTTCAAGGTGAGGACTTTAGCCGCTGGGTACCGCCAAGGGGAATGTTAAGATGATTGCCCGTGCAGCATACAGCACCGAGGACCATCTTGCCTGGAGTAAGGGCATCATTGCTTACATTCATGCTGCATCCCCAGAGGAGCTGCCTTTGCCTACCGTTAACAACAAGCATCGGGGCCTTGCCACCTGTTGGGCATGCGGTACCCAGCAGAGAGGGACCAAAGGAACGTGCCGTGACAGCTCATGTTCATGCTTGGGCCTGGTAAGAAGTTGTCTCCCTGCAGTGACGCTAGCAGGAATGAAGTCTCTCACGGGCTCCTTGTTGCCCTCCTCCTCATCTGCACTATGACACGTTTCTCTTTTAGCCTTTCCTGTTAGGTGGACCTCTTACAGTTCCCCTTCTCTTTCTTCCTTGCCCGTATTATGAAACACTTCTTTTTTAGCTACATTTTGGGGGTGTCTCCTCTTAGGGGAGTTTCTTGCAGATTCCCCTTCTAAAATTATAATAACAGCTCTAATTAAAGCTGATATAATCCAAAAACTAACTTGAATATCTTCTATCCTTCTGGCCTTTTCAGCATTTTTCTGGGTAAAATTCTTAAATCCAGTTTCTAGTGTCCATTCATCTGGAGACCAACGATTATATTAACCAATAAGCTCGAAATAAGAACGCAATTGCTGCCTAGTTACCTTTGCTCCACTTTTCACTAAAAAATTCTGCATAAGAGAGATAAACGACTGTTCTACACTGCTTCTGGCCCATTGTCCCACTCACCACTTTCTGTGGGGGTCCCCGCTGCACTTTCTCTTCTTTCAAGTCCCTGTTCAGGCGCCACTTGTCGCTGTCCCGCAGCAATGGACTTGGTGCACGGAGCCGAAAATAACACGCGAGGACCCTGACTGATGGTCAAAGCCGAAGCTTGTTAGTGGCATCAGACTTTATACACTGAGGGTCACAGGGGATAAGGGAGGAAGTATTGAGCTCTTCAACAATACTTTTGTTTGGAACTTTTGTTTTGTATATTCCACCAAGTGTTCTCATTCACGTGCTGTCCACTCAGCTGTTCTCATACAAATTCTATCCAATCAGTTATTGAAAAGGTATCCATTCGCTTGTTATCGTACAAATGTTATCCTATCGATTGTAATCCTGCGCTCGCTGACTTTCTAGGATCACAGTGTCCTCCTGCAAATCCCATGTGGGTACTGACTTTAATCCCAGCTCTTCACTTCCCACCCAGCTCCCTGCCTGTGGACTGGGAAAGCAGTCAAACATGGCCCAAAGCCTTAGAACCCCGCATCCATGTGGAGACCCAGAAGAAACTCCTGGCTCCTGGCTTCGGATCAGCTCAGCTCTGGCCTTTGTGACCACTTGGGGAGTGAACTGCGGATGAAAGATCTTGCTCTCTGAATCTCCTTCTCTCGTCTTTCCAATAACAATGAATAAATCTTAAAAACAAAAACAAAAAACAAAACAAACAAACAAAAACCTGGGGATGGCACAGTGGCCTGGCAGGTGGAGTCCTCGCCTTGAACGCACTGGGATCCCATATGGGCACTGGTTCTAATCCTGGCAGCTCCACTTCCCATCCAGCTCCTGCTTGTGGCCTGGGAAAGCAGTCGAGGACGGCCCAAAGCCTTGGGACCCTGCACCCGTGTGGGAGACCTGGAGGAGGTTCCTGGCTCCTAGTTTCAGATTGGCACAGCACCAGCCATTGCGGTCACTTGGGGAGTGAATCATTGGACGGAAAATCTTTTTGTCTCTTCCCCTCTCCCTATATCTGACTTTGCAAAACAAATAAAAATGTAAGAAAAAAGAACTTAGAAGTTTAACTTTGAAGTTCTTTAGTTGTCATTTTCATCATAACTGGAGGAAAAAATAACTGTGCACCTTTCTGGTAGGTGACTCCAGTCGGACAGTGAGTGGGCTCCTCAGATTCTGAGCCGTTTCAAAAAGGGGATGCATGTCTGCCCTGGGGGAGGGGCCGGGGGTGTCCCAGAGGTGTGTCAGGTACACGTGCCATGTGCCTTCCACCCAGATTGTTTAGCTACATTAGCCGGCTTCTTTTTTTCCTCTTTTCTTTTATTATTATTATTATCATTTTATGATGCAGTTCCATAGGCCCTGGGATTTCCCTTACTCTCTCCCCATGCCTTTGAATTCCCCTGTGTTATTACTATAATATAGTTCTTCATAAACAGTCGTATGTCCATCATTGCAGGCATGGACAATGGCAGGGAGTCCAGCATCCCCCTTATTGTCAAGACATAGTTTCGTTGTAAGTCCATCTTTGTCTGGAAGTGGAGATGCATACTACACTGTATCCTCACATCTGGATATGAGAGTCTCCATTACACAGCTACTGTACATTCCCTTAAATAAAAAGCCATGAAACACAATCAACACCAGGATGAAAAATAGAAATGTACAATGCCATGAAGTTAAATAACATGCTACTGGATATGACAATCTCCGTTACACAGTACTGGACATCCCCTTAAATGAAAAGCCACAAAACAAAATCAACAACAGGAAGAAAGCAAGAACTTAAAAACACCATGAAGTTAAATAACATGCTACTGGATGACTAATGTGTTACTGAAGAAATGAAAAAATCAAGAACCTTCTTAAAGAAAATGATGCTTCTGTATGATTTATGTGTCATTGAAGAATTTAATTAATGAGAAAAATTGTTTTGAAGAAATGAAACTAAATATGAAAACATCAATATCCATGAGATACAGTTTCCTCTTTGTTGGTGAGATATGTCTTCTGTAGGCAACAAATAGATGGGTTTTGTTTTTTAATCAAGTCTACTAATCTATGACTTTTTTAAAAGATTTATTTATTTATTGGAAAGTCAGATATACAGAGAGGAGGAGAGACAGAGAGGAAGATCTTCCTTCCGTCCGATGATTCACTCCCTAAGTGACCGCAATGGCCGATGCTATGCCGATCCGAAGCCAGGAGCCAGGAACCTCCTCCAAGTCTCCCACATGGGCACAGGGTCCCAAGGCTTTGGGCCGTCCTCAACTGCTTTCCCAGGCCACAAGCAGGGAGCTGGATGGGAACTGGAGCTGCCAGGATTAGAACCAGCACCCATATGGGATCCTGGCGCGTTCAAGGCGAGGACTTTGGCTGCTAGGCCACGCCGCTGGGCCCAATCTATGACATTTGATTAAGCTTAAGCCATTTACATTTCAGGGTTAATATGTATGGGTGGTAATTTGGTTGTGTCATTTTAACAGTGGGTTGTTCATTGGTTTAGTCTTCTGTTGTTGTTTTCCTGGGATGTTCTTCACACTTGCCTTTGGTTTTGGTAGGTGCTATTCCTCTTCTCTGTCAAGAGAACATCTTCAAGTATCATTTGTAGGGCAGGTTTGGAAGAGGCAAATTCTTTTACTGTGGAAGAATTTGATTTCATTTTCAAAGACAAAGGAAAGCTTCGCTGGGTATGTTATCCTGGGCTGACATTTTTTTTTTTTTTTTAATTTTAGAATCTGGACTATGTCACTCCATTCTCTTCTTGCCTGTAGAGTTTCCTGTGAGAGGTCTCCTGTGAGCTTAATTGGCATTCCTTTATATGTCAATTGATTTTCTTCATGTGTACATTAAGGATCTTTTCCTTGTGTTTGACTGAAGAGAGCTTGATGATCTTATGTCTTGGTGAAGATTGCTTTTGATCAAGCCTGTTTGGAGTTCTGTGCCCCTCCTGGATCTTGTTTCCCAATTCTTTCTCTAGATTAGGGAAATTTTCCCTTATTGTTTCATTAAATACGTTTGTAAACCCAGTGCCTCTTTCTGCATCTTCCGGGACTCCCATAACTCGTATATTAAGCCTCTTAATAGTGTCTTTCAATTCTTGAATACTTTTTTTGGCCTGATCCAGCTCTGCTTCCAGCTTTTTGTTTGCTTCCCTCTGATGACAGCAAATATCTTCCAATTCTGAGATTCTTTTTTCTTGCTTAATTCTATTTTGGAGACTCTCCACTGTACTTTTAATTTGCTCTACTGTGTTCTTAATTTCTGATATATCAGCCTTGATTTGCTTTATTGCTGTTATTTCCTGTTTAACATATTCCTTAAATTATTTAAACTCTTGTATGTGCTTCTCATTATTGATCAGAAGCTTTATAATGAGTTTTATTGGAAAGTCTCTTCAGAAGAGGAGAGACAGAGAGCAAGGTCTTCTGTCCACTGATTCACTCCCCAAGTGACAACAGTTGGAGCTGAGCTGATCTGAAGCCAGGAGCCCAAAACCTCTTCCGGGTCTCCCACGTGGGTTCAGGGTCCCAAGGCTTTGGGCCGTCCTTGACTGCTTTCCCAGGCCACAAGCAGGGAGCTGGATGGAAAGTGGGGCAACTGGGACATAACTAGCACCCATATGGGATCCCGGCACATGTGAGGCAAGAACTTTAGCCACTAAGCTACTGCATAGGGCCCTCAGCAACTCTTAAAATAAGTCCTTTTATTGTTATTTTGTCTATTAAGACAGCATGTCGCATGTCCGTGTACTCCAGTTTGATCCCAGGCCCTGTCTCCTGACTCCCTTTTATACCAGGGAAGCCTCTAGTGGTTCCAGCCCACACTTAGGGGCCTGTCACCTTTGCTGGAATCCAGGCAGTTTCCAGCAGTGCATGGTGCCCAGCCCAGCCCAGCCGTCTGCCTTTGCCTCTCCAAAACTAAACAAGAAACTGTATTACTGCTACACTAAGACACTCTGGGCATCACTTTTCTATTTTTTTTTGAAAGGACGAAGGGGGCTCGAGCGCATTGAGACTCAAAGGGTCAAGTCACTGCCTGCGACGCTGGTTCAAGTCCCAGCTGCTCCACTTCAGATTCCCTTTGCTACAAATGCACCTGGGAGAGTGGCAGAAGACACTCCGAGTGCCACCTGTGTGGGAACCCTGGAAGGAGTTCCTGCCTTCTGCTCTCATTGGGTCCTCCCTGACCGTTGGAGGTCATGTAAGGAGTGAGCCCATGGCGGAAGTCCTCTGTCCTGTCAATCCATTTCCTTGTCACTCCACCTTTCAAATAAATAAGAAGGGAATATAAAGCAGAAAGAGTGATTCTCTTGGGAGGAGGGAGAGGATGGAGTAGAGGAGACAAACAGATATCAGATCTTTTAAAAACATCTACTTGGGTTGATGCTGTGCTGCAGTGGTTAAAACTGCTGCCTGCCGTGCAGGCATCTCACGTGGAAGCTGGTTCAGGTCCCAGCTGCTCCACTTCCCGTCCAGCTCCCTGCTTGCGACCTGGGAAAGCAGTGGAGGATGGCTCAAGTGCTTGGGCTCCTGCACCCATGTGGGAGACCTGGAAGAGACTCCTGGCTCCTGGCTTCGGACCAGCCCAGCTCCAGCAGCTCGTGAGCGTCTGGGGAGTGAACCAACAGATGGAAGATCTCTCTCTCTCTCTCCTCTCCCACACACTTCGTCTCCTTCTCTCTCCTTCAAATACTCTTTTAAAGCAAATAAAGAAATGAAACATATTTCATGGAGATCTTTGAAAATAAATGGAAGTTCACATGTTAGGCAGAGAGGTAACAACTTGAGAAGCAGCCCCCCAATAACTGAAGATAAAAGCAGTCATACTGGGGGGCGCCAGGGACCTTGCACACCGGCAGCGCGGGCTGGGCTCGCTCAGTGGCGGGCTGGGCTCGCTCAGTGCGGGCTGGGCTCGCTCAGTGGCGGTGCTGACATTTCCTAGGCTTTCAGAGTCTCCATTTCTCCACCGCAGTTTGGGGCGGCCGGAAAGCACAGCTTCGGAGATGGAGTCGTCCTTCGAGTCCAGCTTCTCGGCCAGCCTTGCGGTGTCAGCGGCCTCCGGATGTCTGCCACCGGCCGCCTCGCGCATCTTCAAGACAATCCTGATCGCGATTCCGATGCAGGCAAGACGTGCCTGACCTACCGCTTCTGTGCTGGCTGCTTCCTCAACCGCACTGAGGTCACTACTGGGGTGGATTTCAGAGGATGAGCAAGTGGAAATCGACGGGGAACGCGTCAAGCTCCGGTTATGCGACACAGCAGGACAAGGAGGTTCAGAAAGAGCGTGGCACAGGGCTACTGCTGTACAGAATCGTACCTGCTGTGGTCTTTGTGTACAACATGACCAACATGGCCAGTTTTCGCAGCCAGCCATCTTGGATAGAGGAATGCAAACAGCATTTGCCGGCCAAAATTCTCGTTGGAAACACATGTGACTTGAGAAGTGCCCACAGGGCCCGGCGCGGTGGCGCAAGTGGTTAAGTCCTCGCCTAGCACGCCCGGGATCCCATATGGGCGCCGGTTCTAATCCCGGCAGCCCCGCTTCCCTTCCAGCTCCCTGCCTGTGGCCTGGGAAAGCAGTTGAGGACGGCCCAAAGCTTTGGGACCCTGCACCCGCGTGGGAGACCTGGAAGAGGCTCCTGGCTTCGGATCGGCATAGTATCGACCCGTTGCGGCTCACTTGGGGAGTGAATCATCGGATGGAAGATCTTCCTCTCTGTCTCTCCTCTCTGTATATCCGCCTTTCCAATAAAAAATAATAAAAATAAATCTTTAAAAAAAAAAAAAAACCCCAATGACAATGATCGTGAGGAAGCTGTATTTATGACCTTAGCTCATAAGCTTAAGAGCCACAAACTGTTAGTGCTTAGTTAACCCTTAGTTAACCCGATCGTGGAGTTATCCCAAAGCCTGCCATGTCGTGCTGGTGCTAGCTGTCAGCCTTCATTGTTCTGTCAATTTTGATTGAAGGAAGCATGACACAGCGATGGTTGGAAGCTTAACTCTCCAGTGCAATGGCTGCTCCTGATATGCGTTTCCCATTGTCCACTTCTGTATATTGTGTCGACTTCATCAAGGCTGTCACTGTGAGAACACAGGGAGATTGAAAGCGACGAGTGGGGCCCAGCACGGTGGCCTAGTGGCTTAAGTCCTCGCCCTGAACACACCAGGATCCCATATGGGCACTGGTTCTAATCCTGGCAGCTCCACTTCCCATCCAGCTCTCTGCTTGTGGCCTGGGAAGGCAGTCAAGGACGGCCCAAAGCCTTGGGACCCTGCACCCATGTGGCAGTCTTGGAGAAGGCTCCTGGCTTCAGATCAGCACAGCACTGGCCGTTGCGGTCACTTGGGGAGTGAATCATCAAACAGAAGATCTTCCTCTCTGCCTCTCCTCCTGTCTGTATATCTGACTTTGTAATAATAATAATAATAATAAAGATCTTAAAAGAAAAGAATGAGTGGAGTCAGGATGTCTTTCCTCTGTGAGCCCAGGGAGGGAAGCTTGGCACGGGAGCCTGGTTGCATTCTCTGTCAGTACGTTACTGGCTCTGCTCCTGAGATGGGGTGCAAATGGGGCATATTCTCTCTTAGGACAGAAAGTGGGCTTGCCTGTTCCCTGAGCACCTGCCTTGGGGTGTCAAGGTGTTTGGGTGTGCTGTTATCGATACGTTGTGGAGTCAAGACCTTGAGTCAGTGGCAGGAGAAGAAACCGCATGCTCCCTGGGCCTCAGCCCGAAGAGAATAACTTTTCTGCTAGTTCTGGAAGCCAACTCTTTCTAATTGAGATCAGATCTACAAAAATCATTATTTTTAATAAGAATGAATTGTCTTCTTACTAACTTCTATTAAAATAAGCAAATATAAGCCAGATCTTAGAGCAAGTGGAGTGATATAACAAGGTGCTTTTATATTTTATTTTTCATGTCTTTAAATGAAAACAAAACAAAACAAAACAAAAAACCAAATGGTTAGCATTGGAGGAGGTGTGACCTGGAAGAGAAGTGAGGATGCGCCTGGCTCCTGGCCACAGGAGCCTGCTGTTCGGTTGCTGTAATTTCGGGCCACGTGACTAGCATGGTGTCTCCTTGTCCCCTTCCCCAAGCCAGGTAATGAGCAGATGCTCAATTAGCAAATCAGCTTCCCTTTGGATTGTGGCAGCCCTGAGGGCATGACTCCTTACTCCGAATCCACATGCATTTCTGTAATAATACAGTGTTATTGACATTTTTTTAAGTATTCAAATTTTGTGTTCACAATGAGCTGTTCCTCTTGGGTATGGGAAATAAACGAGACACTGAAAGTGACTGTTGCTCGGTAACAGAAAGCGTAGGTCAAGTTCAAGCGTTTTGACCCTGTTTCCTTTCGGTTTGAGCTGAAGACTTTGCACATAGATCACAGCAGACTCGTTCTGCAGCTGCTCGTGTGGGAGGAGTGGGAGCCATGTGTCCCACGAGGCGTGTGTCCCAGCGAGGCGTGTGTCCCACGAGGCGTGTGCTCCCAGTGAGGCGTGTGCTCCCACCAAGGTGTGTGTCCTGTGAGGCGTGTCTCCCACGAGGCGTGTGTCCCACGAGGTGTGTGTCCCACGAGGTGTGTGTCCCATGAGGCGTGTCTCCCACGAGGCGTGTGTCCCACGAGGTGTGTGTCCCACGAGGTGTGTGTCCCATGAGGCGTGTGTCCCATGAGGCGTGTCTCCCACGAGGCGTGTCTCCCACCAAGGTGTGTGTCCCACGAGACATGTGTCCCAGCGAGACATGTGTCCCACGAGGCGTGTGTCCCACGAGGCATGTCTCCCATGGGGCGTGTGCTCCCACGAGGCGTGTGTCCCACGAGGCGTGTACTCCCACGAGGCATGTCTCCCACGAGGCATGTCTCCCACGAGGCGTGTGTCCCACGAGGCGTGTGTCCCACGAGGCGTGTCTCCCACGAGGCGTGTGTCCCACGAGGCGAGTGCTCTCTGCTTCCCAGGGGCTCTCAGATCATTTTGGAGGAAATGAAGACAAAAGATGATTGTACTCAGCATAGTTTCACAGTGTGGGAAACCAGTTAAACACTTAATCTAGCTTCTGTATGTTGTTCCATTACTATGGCGATCCTGACCGATCACTTTACTGTAAGCAGCAGGGGATTCCAGGAAATGAGCCGACAGTGACCACAAGAAACGATGATTCAGTTGTAAATATTAGACTTCAGGCCCAGCGGCTAAGTCCTCACCTTGAACACACCGGATCCCATATGGACGCCGGTTCTAATCCCGGCAGCTCCACTTCCCATCCAGCTCCCTGCTTGTACCCTCGGAAAGCAGTCGAGGACGGCCCAAAGCCTTGGGACCCTGTACCCGTGTGGGAGACCCAGAAGAAGTTCCTGGCTCCTGGCTTCGGATCGGCATAGCATCGGCCGTTGCGCTCACTTGGGGAGTGGATCGTTGGACAGAAGATCTTCCTCTCTGTCTCTCCCCTCTGTATATCCGCCTTTCCAATAAATAAATAAATCTTTTAAAAATAAATAAATAAATATTAGACTTTACACTGCAGTACATATATTTAGGGCAGAGAAACACATTTTTCTAGAATCATGCTAGAGTTAAAAAGGGAAAATTTGCTTTATCTAAATTAACATTGCTTTGCAACTATTTTTATAGTGAAACAATGACAGCTGTAGTAATTGTGAAAGGTGGAAGTCTTTCTAAAGAAGGGACTGCTCGTTGCTTTTCCAAACCATTTTCTAAAGTGGAGAAGAAAGTTTGCAGACTTTGGAAGCCTACTTAGATTTTTTTCCAGTAATGTTATTACCATGAATTTATTGAAAAGAAACTTTGTTTTCCTAGGAAGTTAGTAGTATCCTTTATAGTTCTGTGAAAGCAGTTATTTTTTCACTTCGATATTTGTAACAACTTTTCATTTTGATTTTTGTATGTATCTTTTTATTCTTAAAAGGACATGCTTAGTTCATGGAGATAAAGCTTTTTAGGAATAATCGAAGACATTTATGAAGAAACCACTCCCAGGATGGCAGCTAACGACTCCAACTCCTTAGCACGCCATTTTAAGTGTATACCTGTATGGGTGTCTATATATATGAATGTATTTTAACTGTGGCTGTTAATTGAAAATATTAGATATGTTTTGGCAAAGTGTTGCTTTGAGAACACAAAGAAACTTACCGCAGGTCTACTAGCTGACAGCCTTGCCTCATGGAAGGTACACGTCTCACTGCTAATAGATGTTCCTCATGGAGTCTCACCAGAAGGTAACTTTGTTGTGGGGTAGTGTCATCCTTACATTTCCTCATGAAGTTCAATAAAGCAGCTTTGCCACACACACAAAAGGTCCTGCTGTGGCCCATGGCGAGCAGGCTGTGTGGCCATTTTCACCGAGATGGACTAAGCCAGGCACTGCAGCCACAGTCCACATTAGTGGGACGCTGCAGAAGTGGGACCTGCACGCAGGCACTCCAGTGTTGAACTTGGGCATTCTAAGGTGCCTTTGTTGTTATTAAATATTTATTTTTTATTTTATTTTTGTTTTAAAGTCAGTGCTGGGCCCGGCGGCGTGGCCTAGCGGCTAAAGTCCTCGCCTTGAACACACTGGGATCCTATATGGGTGCCGGTTCTATCCCAGCAGCCCCACTTCCCATCCAGCTCCCTGCCTGTGGCCTGGGAAAGCAGTTGAGGACGGCCCAAAGCCTTGGGACCCTGCACCTGCGTGGGAGACCCGGAAGAGGCTCCTGGCTTCGGATTGGCACAGCACTGGTCGTTGCGTTCACTTGGGGAGTGAATCATCGGATGGAAGATCTTTCTCACTGTCTCTTCTCTGTATATCTGACTTTCCAATAAAAATAAATACATCTTTTAAAAAAAATAAGGGAAGTCACAGTGCTGGTTCACGCTTCCAACGACCACAGCCACAGATGCCAGGCCAGTTAAAAGCCGGGAGTCATACGCTTCCTCCAGCTCTCCCGTGTGGGTACTCAAGGGTCTTGGTTCATCATCTGCTGCTTTCCCAGGACACAAGCCGGGAATTGGATGGGAGGTGCAGCAGCCGAGACTGGAACTGGCGCCTGTATGAGATGCTCACCCCACCCATAGGCAGAGGTTTAACCTGCGACACCACGGCCCTGGTCCCATGTCATGAAGATTTTACTCTACTTTCTTCTAACAAGTTTAGCTTGCAACTGAGCCCTTTAATTTTATTTATTTATTTTTTTTTGGTATGTGGTGTTAGGTAAGGGTTAGCTTCATTTTTTTGCATGTGTATATCCATTTTTTCCCAGTGCCATTTGTTAGAAAGACTGTCCTCTGTCCCACTGCATGATCGTGGTGATTTCCTTACATAAATCATTTGACCAGGGGCTGGCATTATGCCACAGCAAGTTAAGCCACTGCTCAAGAGACCAGCACCCCACGCTGGAGCACCAGATCCACTTCTGGCTGCTTTGTTTTTGACCCAGCTGCCTGCTGATGCACTTGGGAT